AATCAGGAATACGACATTTCAGGGACACTATACCTATTTTGAATCACCCTGTATATTATGTATTGTATTATTGTATATTATGTATCTATATTTATGTATAGATATCTGAATAAACGTGACTTTAAATCTTTAATAGAATTTTATGTCAAAATGTATAAACAATGCTGATAAATGTGCAATCCATTTTTAAGTTTTGCAATAAATTTCACTTTTTGAAAGAGTGGAATAGCGCATATGCAATGGATATGTATGAAACACTTCAATAGTCATTTAAAACTGTATGTAAAAAATATACTAACGATATTGCCCATAATATAAGAATTTTTGTATTCTAAAATTTATCTTATATTTTCGATTAATTAATACAATGAAGTCATTCGAGTATTTAAACAACATTGAATATTTAATCGGTGCGATTAAATGTTTCATTTACCACCCCTGCCATAGTATGTGTTAGCACTATAAAGAGTCTGAGTGGCCATACAGCAACGTATGTTTGATGTGCATATAATCTGTGAGCACCCACAGTCAGTCCTATGGTACTAATTATGATGAGGAATATAACTGAAATTAATAAAATGTTAGATTACTGTGTAAATATTATCACTTGTACACGCATTAAAGGACCATCAAAAAGAAGATAATGGACACATTACAAAAGTTAACATACTGGCAGAAAGCTGTGTTCATGAAAAATACATTTAAAGCTTTTATAAGATACTTGGAGGCAATAACGGCGCTTTACCATTCAAATACAGATTTGATATTTTTATTTTCATTTCAAGGAAGTAACTGCAAAGTGACGATTCGTTACTTATTAAATAACTGTAACTGTAACGCGTTACTTTTCAGAAATGGTAACTTGTAACTGTAACTAGTTACATTTTTAGCGAAAAAAACTGTCACTGTAACTAAATACTTTTATAAAATAACTTTCTCAACCCTGCATGCAGATATATACATATAATAAATCACAATTTCATACATAAATTATTATACAAGACACGTGAGCATTAATTGGACATACAAGTATAAACGTAGCTAGACCGAGCGCGCGAGACCAACCGTGTAGTTTATACAAGACAGGTGAGCATTAATTGGACATATCATATGTATGTACATATGTATGTATGTATGTATGCACATTAAAGATCGGAGATATATATCATGCATATGTATAGTATATGAGTGACACATATTATGTATATACATACATGATACATAGATGTATATACATTGTATAAGTATACACTATCTAAATGTTTTGCGGGTTCTACCATTATTTTAAAATGAGCTAATCTAATAAAGAATTAACTAATCCTATTTTTCATTTATATTCTATTCTACGTAATGGTTTGCGATACTCACAGTATAATATCGTCATTAATTTTGCTTTAAACAGAATGTATAGTCCAACGAGACCAATGACATGAAGATAAATATAAAAGAGAACGGCGGTCCATTTCACAGATCGTTTCTGAATTTCGTTGTTGCTTTTGTTGGTGTTATTACAGTTATCTTCTTCCTTTATTTCGTTCATGTCGATGTTATGACTGTTGACATAAAAGAAATCTAAAGTTAATATTTAATATAACATTTTGCAAATACTTTTAAATTAATAAATTGCTACTTGATGGTGTAGCGAATAAAATTTTGACAATTATAAGTTTTGCTTAAATACGTTATAATAGCAGAATAAGATTAATTAATTAAGAAATTATGATTTATAGAAATGCAAACTATCTTAAATAATTTTTATTTTTATTTTTTATGTATCGGAAGACTATAGATAATTATAAACGTAGATATAAAAATTATTATAGATGTATTATAGATGTTATATTATAGATATATATAGATGATATAACATTAGTACAAGGATTGAGAAACTGTCCAAAGAACAGTAAAACTCGAACGATATAGAATTGCTGAATATTTTATTGGGTAAAAGTACGAAGAGACCAAAAGATAAACGGAAGGAAAATACAAGAAGCGATGACATATATTTCTTTTTCTAAAAGATAAATGTATCTGTTTTACTTACTTCTTGAAACAAAGTCGCACTGACACGCGCTTCTGGAAGACTGGAAAAGAACTACTTAGTAAAGGTAATGTTGTGAATATTTTAACTGGCCTTACGATCCCCATTCAGAATTTCATTATCGACTGAAATAAATAATTTCTTACACATCATTTCCTGTCTGTTTGATTTCGATGCGATCAGTTGCGCGTGTGCGTGATACCCGATGAATTACTTAACCTTTTCATGACAGAATTACTTTTGTTCCTCTTTTAATAAAACACTAACATTTTAAGGAATCAGATAACAAAAAGATGTAAGTGGAATTTACATATCTCAGTGGTTACGAAAAAATTTAATGAATGTATTGTCATAAAATTGCTTTTTTTCATGATCATGACTTTTTGTTTTTCATGCGCCACAAAATCTTTTGTTCTTCCTGTTATA